ATATATATATATATATATATATATATATAATTGATTTTTTACAGAGAGGAAGGGAGAGGGATACAGAATTCAAACATGGATCAGCTGCCTCCTGCACACCCCCTCCTGAGGATGTGCCCACAACCAAGGTACATGCCCTTGACTGAAATCGAACCTGGGACCCTTCAGTCTCCAGGCCGACGCTCTATCCACTGAGCCAAACCGGTTAGGGCAGGGTTAGAGGTTTTAGTTGCAAGCAACAAAAACAAATACTGGCTAATTTAAACAAACAAACAAGAACAAAGGAATTTATTTAAAAACTCAGAAAACCTTTGGAAAGGTGGGGGAATAGGGTTTTCAGGCTCTGCTGCCAGGTAAAAGAAATGTCCAATGGGGAAGCCACAGCCCTGGCTGCTGGGAAGACTCTATAGCTTGCACTGCTGGCTCAGCTGATCCAGGACATCGGTGCAGTAATGCTGGAAGCCACTTGGGGCTGCTGCCTCTCCCTGCTTAGGGGGTCAGGGCAGCCCCTGCCATTGCCTAAAGTTTGGGCAGGCTTGTTGGAGTGGTGGAGTCTGGATTATGTGTCCAGGCCCTCGCTTCTGACAGACTGGGAAAGCAAGAATCTGACATTTTTGGCATCTACAGTGGAAGGCACTCTGCCTCGGCAGGTAAGGGGGTCTCAAACACAGAAAGTAGGTTCAGATGCTGAGTGGTCAAAACAAATGAGTTTTCCACAGCGATTTATACATGCACTTACTAATGGACATTGAGATAATTTTCAATTTCCTACTATCACAAACTCTTGCATTGAAATTTTTGTACATTTCCTTTTTGTGCATAAGACTTTTACTTTAATGTAAACTTATCAACCCGCTCCTTTATGGTTGTGTGTCATTTGTGTGTGTTTGGTTCAATTTATTTTCTACTTCAAGGTGAAAAATATTTTCTCCTTATGTTTTCTTTCTTTTTTTTTATTATTTGGCTTTTCATATTTAGCCCTTTAATCTACGTGGACTTTATGATAGGAAGTAGGAATCTTAGATAGATAGCCAGTTGTCTCACTACCATTGATTAAGCCATTCTTTCTTCATTGGTTTATAATGCTATCTCTGTTGTATATCAAGCTTCCGTATGTGTATGGGTCTGGTTGGGGCTCTCTATTCTGTTCCACTGGTCTAACTAGCCTGGTGCCAACACCACAATATCTTAGCTACTAAATCTTCATGAAAAGTTTAAAAAAATATTTTTATTGCGTTCAGAGAGGAAGTGAGAGGGAGAGAGAGATAGAAACATCAATGATGAGAGAGAATCATTGGCCAGCTGACTCCTGCACGTTCCCCACTGGGGACCAAGCCCACTACTCGGGCATGTGCCCTGACCAGGAATTAAACCTCGACTTCCTGGTTTGTAGGTCAATGCTCAACCACTAAGCCACACCAGCTGGGCTTCACGAAACATTTTGAAATCTGGTAGGGCAGGTCCTTCCGCTTCGCTTATCTTTTTCAAATATATCAGTGCTATTTCCAGAAATAGCTATCTTACATCCTAAGGAGCACAATGATAAAAATCAACTTTTGGCATGTATGGTTTGATATACAATATGAGCTATAAAGAGCAGCAAGAGAAATAACAATACTACCGTTGCCAGTGGCTGGACAGTGGCAGAAAGCTCTGAGAGCAGGAGTCAGGGGTTACATTAAAGAAATCAGGTGTTTGAAATCAAGGTTCTGATCTCCATCCCGTAAAGAACAGAAGTCCAACCTCAGTGACACTCTCTTGTTTTCCCCATGACCACTTACTCCTCCATCCCCACCTTTGTCTTGCCTGGGGCCCATCTCAGGTGAACATAGAGTGAACCAATATCAGAACCCCTGGAGAGGCATTCTGAGCATCCATGAGTAATTCCAATGTGGCAGCTAGTGTGCTGTGAAATCATCAAAAGTTAGGTTTCAGGCTACAACCCTCTATATAAATTTTGGCTCAAGAAGGCATTTCAAGTTCTTGCCTTGAGCACCTCCACTCACACACACACACACACACACACACACACACACACACACATACACACACACACACAACCTCCTATCTCCAACACATTGCAATAATCTCTCTATATAAAAGCCTAAGTGACCGGCCAACCGGTAGCTATGATGCGTACTGACCACCAGGGGGCAGATGCTTAACGCAGGAGCTTCCAAGCTGTGGTGACTTGGCAGCTGTGGTTCTTGGGTGATGCACCTGGAACCAGAGAGGAGGGAGCCCGATTCCAGGGTGCGTCACTCGAGAACCTCCCTCTCGCAATCCGGGACCCCTCGGGGAATGTCAGAGAGCTGGTTTCAGCTCCATCCCCAAAGGCCAGGCTGGGGGACCCCACCAGTGCACAAATCTGTGCATCGGGCCTCTAGCCCACTGGCTCCCCACTTTGGGTCTGGCTCCCTACCAGGCATCTAGCCCATTGCAGAGGTCGTGGGTCTGGCCCTTACAGAAACTTTTTGACTCAATTAGCTAAATGATGAGACATATAGGACCTACTGACTGCGCCCCCCCACCCCCCAATGTCTGGCACTCACGCCAGCCCATCTGCTTAATATGGATTTCCAGTGGAGGCAGCGAATTTTCCCGCTACCACTCTCAGCTGGGAAACCAGCCACAGCTTCCCTCCTTCCAGGGTGGACAGTAGCACCAGCAGGCAACCTCTGGGGAGGGAAGGAGGTGAAAGAGCAGCTCAGGTGGGAAGAAGGAGGTTCCAGCTGCCACAGGACTCTGCCTGGGTGGAAGGGCCTGGCAGGAGCCTGATATTGAGCAGGGTCCTGCCCTAAGCTGACTTAGGTTCCAGGCTAAGTAATTCCTGTTTGCTAAATAATTGCATTTTGCAGCTAAATGCCCACAAGTCATCAGTTACCACCAAATTTAGGGTAAAGTGAGATGAAAGAAGCAAGACAGATACAGAGAGAAAGTGACATAATATTGGGAGAAGAGAGGAGGGAGCCCGATTCCAGCCCATTTCAGGCCAGGCAGAGGGACCCCACTGGTGCACGAATCCGCACACCCGGCCTCTAGTGGTAAAATAAAACAATTGAAAAGATCAAAGCTGTCTTCCAGGTCAAGATGAACACCTTTCGACAACTGTGAACAGCACCCACCAGAGGAGCTGCTACCAACTGAGGAGCAGCTGCTACCACAACCGCCCGAGGAGCAACCGCAGCCCGAGGAGCCACTGCCACCCAAGGAGCAGCCACTGAACGACTCAACATCTAGATATGGTGGTACGATCAAACATGGGTAGACAAAGAAACCCCCAAATGAAAGAAAAGGAGGACTCGCCAGAAAAGCAGCTAAGTGATACAGAGGCATGCAACATGACAGAAAAAGAATTCAGATTATGGGTCCTAGAGTGCATACACCGAATGTAGGAAAAAATCAACAACTTATGCAAGAAGCAAGAGGAAACAGATGAAAAAATCAATAAATTATGTAAGAACCAAGAAGAAATGAAAAGTGATATAGCTGCAATAAAAAACACCATTGAAAGTTTCAACAGTAGACTAGGAGAAGCGGAGGACCGAATTAGCGAATTAGAAGACAGGGAAACAAAACACACCCAAACTGAACAGCAACTGGAGAAAAAATTAAAAGACAGGAGGAGAGCCTAAGGGAGCTATGGGACAACATGAAACGAGACAACATATGAATAATAGGGGTGCCAGAACAACAGAAAGAGGAACAAGGGTTAGAAAACCTATTTGAAGAAATAATATCAGAAAACTTCCCAGAGGTGGGGAAGAAAAAAATCACACAAGCACAGAGAGTCCCAAACAAGGTGAACCTGAAAAGACCCACACCAAGACACATCATAATTACCATGGCAAATGTTCAAGACAAAGAGAGAATCTTAAAGGCTGCAAGAGAGAGACGGAAAGTTACATTCAAGGGATCTCCCATTAGATTATCAAATGATTTCTCAACAGAAACACATCAGGCCAGAAAAGAATGGACAGAAATTTACAAAGTGATGCAAAGCAAAGGACTGAATCCAAGAATACTCTATCCAGCAAGGCTATCATTCAAAATTGAAGGGGAAATAAGAAGCTTCACAGACAAAAAAAAAGGCTAAGGGAGTTTATCACCACCAAGCCAGCAATGCAAGAAATGCTAAAGGGACTGGTGTAAATAGAAGAAATAAAAAGCTCAGAAAGAAAACAGCCACACACACACAAAAAATGGCTACAAACAAGTACCTTTCAATAATAACTTTAAACGTAAACACACTAAATGCTCCAACCAAAAGACATTGAGTGGCTGAATGGATAAAAAAACATGACCCATACATTTGCTGTCTACAAGAGACCCACCTCAGAAGAAGGGACTTGCACAGACTGAAAGTGAAGGGATGGAAAAATATCTTGCAGGCAAATGGAAATGAAAAAAAAGCTGGGGTAGCAATACTTATATCCGACAAAATAGACCTCAAAGTGAAGGCCATAACAAGAGATAAGGAAGGCCACTTCATAATACTAAAGGGATCAATACAACAAGAAGATATAACCCTGATAAACATATATGCACCCAATGCAGGAGCACCCAAATACATAAAAAAACTCCTGGAAGATATCAAAGGAGATATCGACAACAATACAATCATACTAGGGAACTTTAATACACCACTGACATCACTGGATAAATACCCCACTGGATAAATCCTCTAGACAAACAATCAGCAAAGAAACAGCAATCCTAAATGACTCACTAGATCAGATGGACTTAATTGACATCTTTAGAACACTTCACCCCAAAGCCACGGAATATACATTCTTCTCAAGGGCTCATGGGACATATTCAAAAATAGACCACATATTGGGTCACAAACAAAGTCTCCCCAAATTCAAGAAGATTGAAATCATACCAAGCATCTTCTCAGACCATGATGGCATAATATTAGAAATAAACTACAATAAAAACAACCCCCCTTCCCCCCAAAAAAGATGAACACCTCTCTGGATAGAAACTCAGTATGTTAGTGGGGCTAAAGCCATAAGTTTGCTTATTTCCTGAGCTAGAAACAACAAAAGTGGATAAGAATTTGGCTCTTGTGGGAAAACAGAATAAAATGCTCTTCTCAATACAGGGTGATGTAGTGTTGGGAAATGTTGCTTGGCTCACTTATTAAAACCAAGGCCCAGGATAGGGCTCCCACCACTCTTTGCATGAGGCCAGAACAGCTGCTGTCTACTCCTGCTTGGCACCATGGCTCATAGGACACTTAAAGCTCAGGCAGGTTGGAGAACACAGACAAAGCCTCCGAACCAGAACTAAGCCAAGCTGCTTGCTGGCTTGGGACTGCGTCTGCAACACTCCTAATACTCATGGGGCAGGACACCCACCCCACCATTATTTGACCTGGTTCTAAATTTCTGAATGTGAGGCCTGGGGCTTTGGGGTGGTGGCAACTGAAAAATTACTAGAGATGGAGGGATAAGCAGACACACATGCCATATGAAGAGAGAGGAAAAACCTTCCACTTGAGATGAGCCCAGAATCCAAAATACATAGAAAAAGCTAACTCTAAGAAAGACAAAACACAAAACTAATACTCAATAGATGGATTCAATATAGATAAAATAAAAATAATAGAGCAAATTAAACAGTACTTTAAAATAGTTATGTTTAGAATCTTTAAAAAATATTTTTATTAACTTTTAGAGAGAGAGAGAGAAACATTGATTTATCGTCCCACTTACTTTATGCATTCATTGGTTGCTTCTTCTATGTGCCCTGACTGGGATTGAACCAGCAACCTTGCATATAGGGGGTACTGGCCAGGGCCTAATGCAGTGATGGCGAACCTATGACACGCGTGTCAGAGGTGACACGCGAACTCATTTTTTTGGTTGATTTTTTCTTTGTTAAATGGCATTTAAATATATAAAATAAATATCAAAAATATAAATCTTTGTTTTACTATGGTTGCAAATATCAAAAAATTTCTATATGTGACATGGCACCAGCATTAAGTTAGGGTTTTTCAAAATGCTGACACGCCGAGCTCAAAAGGTTCGTCATCACTGGCCTAGAGTCAGCTTTTAAGCAGGTATTTCACTGAAGTGGTGAAAACAAACTAAGCCTTGATTCCTGATTGGTTCGAATTCCTCTGCTAAATGGGTAGCCTCTTCGGAAGCAGGATGGAGAGAGCTGAAATGCTTGAACCTAGACATGTAAGTCTGAACCAGTTTTAGGAAAGATTTTTCACTGAGAGCATGTGAGTGTCAACACCTTGACCCAGCCTGCTCAGAAAGAACTGTGGTGTGAAGCAATGTGATAGCATGCCTTGCTCAGTGTTTGTGGGTGGACTGAATGAGACTGTCACCGAAAGCTTTTTCCAACATAAGCTGACTGTGAATTAGTAAGACAAACGAGGCTGGTTACCTGAAGGAACACTTGCTGGCTGGGGTCTTCGGGATGCAGGGGAGAGGCGAAGGCTGAAAGACACCCTTCAGTTTTAGGAAGGTGTTTCGGTATAGAAGATACTCCTTATTCTCATCTTTTTCCTTTGCACTTGGTTTCAGAAGAAATTCTGCTGGGGAGACTTCTTGTTTCCTGACCACTTTTGGTGGAAACCTGGGCACTTTGCACATGTGCAGACATTCTATTCCTGAAATGTAAACAGAATAAACATCACTGAAAACCTTTAGTGGACCAAGGTCTCTGTGGGCTGGGGTAACGCGGCTGCAATAATCCGGACACCCCTTCACCCATTTACAGCAGCGCCTTTCTGTGGGTTCCTTTTAGCGCACTTTGTGGTCTGCTCAGAGGATACATAGCATCTATGCAATAAACAAGGAAATGTCTAGGCTATCAACAAATCTAGTCCACAAGAGTTTGGTTATCTGTGCTTATCTTGTGCCAGGTAACGTGCCAAGCACCTTAAACACATTATTCCATTGAATTAGGGACACTAATGGGGTGAATAGTCTTATTTTTATGATATCAGAGGTAAGTCCAAGTTCACCCAGCTAGAAAGAAGCAGAACCAGGATTTGAACATATCTATTTGATTCGGAAGATGGTGCTTTACACCATGCTATAGACTAGGGCTTCCCAACCTCTTTTCATAAAGCAGAAAAGTGTAAACTGTAAAGCCCAATACATATAGATTCTTATCATTAAAATGTGATATAAAAAAGAAATCATAATTTGTATTGCACATCGTGGTGAATTTAGTAGGCTGCTTGTAAGTAGAATCAACTATCCCAGGGGCTAGATCACCTCAGCCCAGTTGCTCCCCTTAGGACGGAGAATTTCCGCTTTCAGTTCCTAAGTAAAACATTTGTGGTGCATCCTTTGGGAAGCTCTGCTATTTACTACAGTAAGTAGCAAACTACCTCCTAAAATGGAGAGGCTTGGCTTTTGGATTTAGTATACAATTAATGCTAATTATTTGCAGATTCCGTTTTTGTGAATTTGCCTACTCACTAAAATTTATTTGTAACCCCAGATTAATACTTGTGGCCCTTTCATGGTCACTTTGCAAATGTGTAAAGTGGTGAAAATTTTAACTTGTGTTATGCAAGTTCCCAGTTGAGGTTGAACAAGGTGACACTCTGCCTTCTTGTTTCCACTGTTGTACTACAAACTTGTGTCCTTTACTCGTGTCATGGCTGTTCAGGGCCATGTTTTACACATTTTTTTGTGCTTTTTGTTGGTGATTTTGCCATTTAAAATAGTCCACAAGCTTAGCGTTCCAAAGCGCAAGAAAGTTTGATGTGCCTTATGGAGAAAATATGTATTAAATAAGCTTGGTTCAGGCATGAGTTATAGTGCTATTGGCCATATGCTCAGTGTTAGTGTATCAACAATATATGTTAAATAAGGTGTTTTTAGACAGAAACACACATAAAATAAGGTTATGTATTGATTGGTTAATGAAAATATTGTGACCAGAGGCTCAAAGGGACCTCACCCTATGTTTTCCCTTGAAGCAATGGTTTGATATTCACTTAATTCAGTGTTTGCAGAGATGCTGTAGAATCTAACTACCACGAATAATGCAAATTAACTGTGTTATATCTCCAGTCAGGAACTGAACCCTAATAGACTCTAATCAAACAGCAGCTTTGCATTAACATCACATTACAACCGCACATTGCAGCGAGCGTACCCACGCCTCTTCTCCACACAGCACATGAACAAAAGACATCAGCAAGGACTGAGGTTTTGGTGGTGAGACTGAGCAGTTGTACTTAAGGGGTAAGAGTATTTTAAGATCCAAAAAATGAGTGTGAAAGCACCTCCTATTTTTTTTATTGTTTTATTGCTTAAAGTATTACAAAGAGTATTACATATGTCTCCTTTTTTCCCCCCGCCCTTGACAATCCCCTGGCCTCCCCTACCTCCTAAAGCACCTCCTCTTAATAAAAAACACAGCAGTGGCCAGATAGATTAACTCTCCAAAGAGAGGAAGGATATAACATTAAGATTCCTGAAATGTAAACAGAATAAAAATTATTCTTTAATTTCTTGCTATGGCCAATCACCTGGATCCATGGTAAGAATCTGCATGTATTGCACTTTACAGTTTACAAACTCACCACCTCGGGAACCTTGGAAGGAAAAGGCATTTAAATGCTGGTCCTCTGAAAATCTGAATAATGGAAACGAGTTATGTGCAGCAACACAGTGGGTCCCATAACTGACCCAATGAAAATCTGTAGTAATCCAGCCAGTCAAATAGGATGTGCTTGGCTTTTCTCTGTAGTCTTCTTAATTTAATAACTGTCGCAATGTCAGACATAGGGCTTATGTCCATTGCTGTATCAAATGTAGCAGTATCCGCTGCACCTGATAAACTTGAACGCTTTAAAACATATACATATGAGAGAGAGAGAGAGAGATTACTATATGATTAGGAAACATAAATTCATTCATTTATTCATTTACTCATTCATTCATTCATTCAGTAGGTTGTCCAACAAATGCTTATTGGGTGTCATTTATGGGCCAATGTGCCAGAAACCAGGACTAAAGAAATACTACATAAAAGTCATGTTCCCTGTCTGGCCAGCATGGCTCAGTGGTTGAGCATTGACCTATGAACCAGGAGGTCACGGTTCTATTCCTTGTCAGGGCACATACCTAGGTTGTGGGCTCATTTTCCAATGGGGACATGCAGAAGGCAACCAATCAATGATTCTCTCTCATCATTGATGTTTCTATTTATCTCTCCCTCTCCCTTCCTCTGAAATCGATAAATTTTTTTTAAAGTCATGTTCCTTTGTGAATGTACTTAATGTCACTGAATTATGCATTTAAAAATGCTTAAAATTGAAACTTTTATGTTATGAATATTTTACCACCACAAAAAATGGAAGAAGAAAAGCTATGTTCCCTATGCTCAAGGTGCTCAGAGTCAATGGAAGAACTAGATATGTAAATATTATAACACAAGGGCTATGTTATTTATAAGCACAGTGTTACGAGAGCATAAATAGATTACTTAATGTTTGTAATACTGAGCTTTTATTTAGCAGAAGAAAGTTTCAAAGTAGTACATCATGAGGACATTAGACTTTAAAACGGATAGTTATAGTGAGTAGTATGTGTGATCTTTACACAATAAATTGGGTATATAAAGTAGTTAGCTTTGAATGAGCTAATATGACTATGAAAATTGATGATAATTCAGTTTTATATATTCATTAAGACTCATAGATAGAGAATAGACTAACAGCTGTCAGAAGGGAGGGAAGTTTTGGGACTGGGTGAAAATGGTGAAGGATTAAGAAAAAAAAACAATTCATAGACACAGACAACCGTACGGTGATTACCAAAGGAGGGGGGAGGGGGAGGTAGAAGAGGGTACAGAAGGATATATGTGATAGAAGGAGACTTGACTTGGGTTGGTGAACACACAATACAATATACAGATGATGTATTATAGAACTGTATACCTAAAACCTATATAATTTTATTAACCAATGTCACCCCAATAAATTCAATAAAAAAGATGACTGGCAATGTTGAACATTTTTCTGTGTGCTGGTTGATCATTCACATCTTATTTTGTGAAATATCTGCTCAAATCTATAGCACATTTTTGGGGGTTGTCTTATTATTGAGTTGTAAGAGTTTACATACTTTGGATACAAGTCCTTTGTCAGATACAATATTATGAATATTTTCTGCCTTTCTGTCGCTTGCCTTTCCATTTACTCCATTTTCTTACTGGTATCTTTCAAAGTTTTTAGTTTTGACAAAGTCAAATCTATCAAGTTCCCTGAAGTTTGTGGGGGTTTTTTGTAAATAAATGTAAATGCTGCTTTGGTCAATTATTGATGAGCTTCATAGTTCTAAAGACATGTCCTCCTAATTAACTTGTAGCTCTCATCTATCTTAGATCCTCACTACCTTAGTTCAGTCCATAATATCTTGGCTAGATTAGTGAACAATCTTATGACTGACCTCCCCACAATATATACCCAAATATTGCCCCAGGCATATAGAACAGTTCTCCACCTGAGTGAGTACATTCTTCCTTGGAGGCATTCAGAAACGTACATGGGCCTTTTGATTGATGGCACAACAAGCACTTAGTTTGTGGGGACCAGGGACACATTCTGAAATGTGCTAGATTGTCCTGCATAAATATGAATTATCTGGCCCCAAATGCCAACAGTGCCCACTTTAGAATTAAGGTTCTAATTTAAAAAAATCTTAAATGCAACTGTTCATAGCAGCTTTATCCATAATAGCCAAAGACTGAAAAGAACCCAAATGCCCATCAAAGGGTGAATGAATAAACAAAGTGTGGTATATCCATATAAGGGAATACCAGTCAGCCATACAAAGGAAAAAACTACAGATACATCTGAAACATAAATGAACCTCAAACACAATATGTTGAACAAAAGTAGCTAGACAGAAAAGAGTACATATTGGTTCTTCCTATGTGAATGATTTTACACTAGAAATACAAAGCTAATTAACAGTGTTGGAGTCAGAACAGGGAGGACTGAGTAGAAAGGAATACATGGGAACCTTTTGGTGTGATAGAAATTATATTATGATTGCAGTGGCACTTATACAGGTGTATACATTTGTCAACAATCATCAAATGCACACATTTGTCAAAAATTATCAAATGCATTAAATGGATGCATTTTAATGTAAATAAAAAATACTTTAATAAAGTAGATTTTTTAAAAGTTAAATATACCTGTGGTGAAAGAGGTGAAGGGATTAAGAAGTACAGATTGATAGTTACAAAATAGGGATGGGAATGCAAAGTACAGCATAGGGAAAATAGTCAATAATATTTGGTAACTATGTATGGTGCCAGGTGGGTACTGGAAATATCAGGGGATCACTTTGTAAAGTATATGACTAGTTAACCACTATGCTGTACACCTAATATTAATACAAAATAATACTGAATGCAAACTGTAATTGAAAAACAAAATGTAGCCTTAACGGTTTGGCTCAGTGGATAGAGCATCGGCCTGTGGACTGAAGGGTTCCAGGTTCGATTCCGGTCAAGGGCATGTACCTTGGTTGCAGGCACATCCCCAGTAGGGGGTGTGCAGGAGGCAGCTGATCGATGTTTCTCTCCCATCAATGTTTCTAACTCTCTATCCCTCTCCCTTCCTCTCTGTAAAAAATCAATAAAATATATTTTAAGGAAAATGTAAATTCTTTAAAATTAAGTAAATAAATAACTAAAATTAATTTGTGATGGATTATGGCATTATTAAAGAAAATACTTTATGAGGAAAATGGACACTTAAAAAATAAACCTCTGCAATGAAACATCCTCCCTATTGCTTGTGGAAACTGCAGAAGATCTCTGTAAGAATATATTATGTGTCCTTACCTCCTTTAAGGTAACAATAATAAAACAATTTATATAAAGACATTTTATCCCCCAAAGGCAAAAAAAAAAATAGAGATAATCTTGCAGTAATAAAATTGCTCACTTTTTTGTGACTGGACAAAACAACTTTGTCTCTATGGACTGAACAAATGATTCAGACTCTAGGAACTGGAATCCATAAGGGCACTTATGGGTGCTTGTATCGCTATCTACTCACTAGGCATTACTGAGCAAGTGATAAAAATCTGGGTTTCTCTATGATATTGTACATTTGTGTGCTACTTTTTTTTAAAAAAAATTCACAATATTAAATTGTTTAATTTTTGTAAAAATAAAAAGTTAAATACACACTTCACACCCATTAGGATGGCTACTATTTAAAAAATACACAAAATAACAAATGTTGGTGAGGATATAGAGAAAGTGGAACCCTTGTATACTGATTGTGGGACTATAACATGGTGCAGCTGATATGAAAAATAGTATGGTAGGTCTTCAAATACTTAGAAATAGAATTTCCATATGATCCAGCAATTCTACTCTGGGAATATATCCAAAAGAATTGAAAGTAGGGTCTCAAAGAGATATTTGTATACCCATGTTCATAGCAGCATTATTCACAACAGCTAAAATATGAAGCAATCCAAGTATCCATCAACAGATGAATAGATAAATAAAATATGGTACTAAAATATAATGAAACTAGAGGCCCAATGCACAAAATTAGTGCAAGGGGCTCGGCCCTCACAGCCCTGGCTTCGTCCGGAAGGTCATCCAGACAGTCGTTCGGCTGTTCAGTCTAATTAGCATATTAGCTCTTTATTATATAGCATATTATTCACCCTTAAAAAGGAAGGTAATTCTGACACAAGAGACATCATGAATGGACTTTGAGGACATTATGCTAAGTGAAATTAGTCAGTTACAAAAGGACAAACACTATATGATTCCGCTTAGATAAGGTGCCTAGAATAGTCAAATTCATAGAGATAGGAACTAGAATGGCAGTTGCCAAAGGGTGGGGTGGCAGGGGAATGGGAAACTGTTGTTTAATGGGTACAGAGTTTTCATTTTGCAAAATGAAAGAGTCTGGAGATAGATGGTGGCGATGATTATATAACAATGTGAATATACATATGCCACTGAATTGTACAATTAAAAATGGTTAAGATGTTTTTAAAAAAGATAAACAAAACAAAGAATCAAACAAACAAATAAATACAAACAAAGAGTCAGCATATGTTCCTTTCAGTGATTACGTGAATGGACCTATCTGTGTTCAATAACTTGATTCTTTGGTCCTTTTTCTAAAACAAATCCAGCCTATGTTGAAAGAAAAAAGTAACTAGAATAACATGAAAACTTAAATCCAATATCAAAATAGTGACTAATTCACACTTACATCTTTGACCTGAGTTATGGATTTCATTAGCTTGCACTTCATTGTGTAGGCCTTGAATAGCTCTCTGGCTTCTTTGGAGATGGGATTGACATCAGGGAATGGCTGAGAGAGATTGTAAACTCAGATGACATGGCTCATAAAAACCCAGAGAGGCAAATAGCATGATATTAAAGGCATATTTATAGAAAAACTATATAATTCCAGTATTTGTGAAGTAACCATGGTAATTCTAAAGCAAGCATGTCAAACTTGCAGTCTGAGGGCTTCATGCCTTGTTTATTTGGCCCATGTTAGCCTTTGAGTTTGACATGCTTATTTGAAAGAGTAACAAAGTTCTGATGCCAGTCCCTAAAAATAAAGATCTTTTACATGTATTCATACACATTCTGTAATATGTGTGCCATTCACATAAACGCACTCAAAATTTTAAAAGTTTGATCAAAGCCCTAGCAGGTTTGGCTCAGTGGATACTAGTAGAGCATCAACCTGTGGACCAAAGGGTCCCGGGTTCGATTCCGGTCAAGGGCATGTACCTTGGTTGCAGGCTCCTCCTCAGTCCGAGCCCTGACAGGGCTCATTCAGGAGGCAACCAATCGATGTGTTTCTCTCATATTGATATTTCTGTCTTTTCCTCTCTCTTTCACTCTCCCTAAAAACCAATCGAAAAATATACTCAGGTGAGGATTAACAACAACAACAATAAAAAATAAATAAATAAAACATTTTTTAAAAAGTTTGATCAAAGCTCACTACTTAAATATATGAAATTAGAGATACTAATGTTTTAGTGTCTTACCTCTTGATAAACAAAAGTTTTAGCCAAAAATTTCTCAACAGAGATTAAGTGCAACTGTAAAGTGATTATTAAGAGAAGTTATTCTGAGCCATAGTTTTAGCAATGCTCTAACATCGCCAAGTGTTTTTGGAATATTAGTTATGCTTAAAAAAACACACCTTAAATTGATATAGTTTCTTTTAGTTAAAAAAAAACAACATCTGAGCCTTACACTGTTTTTAAGAAATCATAGATTACTAGTATATAAATGCAAATAATTCAACTACTTAGGACACAGGAAGTTAATTCTCCAAAGCTTAGGAATCACGGCCTTAGAAAAAACTAGGTCTTCATTTTTCTCTCAACTCTACCTTTATCTTCTAACCTCTCCTCTTCCCAAACTTTCAGTTATTTCAAGTAAGGTCCATAAACAGCTATAATAGCATCCATATTGTAGAAATCACTGGGAAATACTGAAAATTAAGAATCTAAAATCAGTGAACATTGTCCCTGCTCTGTTCTGTGCTAAGGTGCCATCATGTAGATGATTGAAGAAATCTCCGGACCTACTGTCTCAGGGGTGTGTGGAGGAAACATGGAGGGCCTGCGTTTTACAGGTGCCAGAGACAGCTTTAGGCTTTGAGGATGCCATTTGTAGACCAAGGAGATGGCAAAGCGCCCAGAAATCTTCACAGTGATGAATGCATTCACCTGGGGACAACAGGAAGAATTGTCATTTCTTGCACAGAATTCTCATGCTCATAATTCAGGTGGAAATCATAGACATTTACATGATGCCTGGAAGGAAATCTGAGATCAACATTCACAGATAGCTTTAGTCTAATTTCATTTAGTCAGGAATGGGTTTTAGGTTTTATGCTAGAAATTTGTTTGCCATGACATCTACAGATTTGCACAGCACATTTAAAGGCTTGTGTAGATAAAGCATCCTCATTAGGTCAGCTGCTCTAAGCAGGGAAGACTTTTGTTTGGTTGCAAGTTACATTCCCTTGCTTCCTGAAGGCTGCCAGCTGAGGTAATATGAACTAAATGACCTACCCCATGAGCTACCATGATTTTTCTAGACAAAAGGTGGGGAAACCCTGAGGGTCAGGAAACTTGTACATGCAGGCTTGCCTCTTACAGTTTCTTTACTTGCTCTTTACTTCCCTAGCCCTCCAGAACTAAGCAGTACTTTTTTTAAAAAAAGCCACCTGAATAGTATATGTAGGATACACGGCCACCATGAACGATTCTGTAGATTATATAGAATAAAGGCCTTAAGCTACTTCCCTACACAAGAGCCTGTCCGGTAAAAATACAACGTGAGCCACATAAATAACTTAAAATTTTGTAGTAGCCACATTAAAAAGAGCAAAAAGCAGGTGAAATTAATTTTAACATTTTATAACTAAAAATATCTAGATATTAATATATCCACATGTAACCATTATAAAAATTATTAATATGATATTTTACATTCTCATTTTTTGTACTATGTCTTTAAAATCTAGTGTGTATTTTACACTTACAGTGTATTTCAAAGGTTCCATGGCCACAGGTGGCTAGTGGCTTCCATACTGAATAGCACAGCTCTATATACATGGTGCCCTTAGGGGTTGGTGGTTCAGTGAACTTTGTAAAGCGACCCTGCCCAGCCCGTGTGGCTCAATGGTTGAGCATCTATCTATGCACAAAGGGGTCACAGGTTCAATTCCCAGTCAGGCCACATGCCTGAGTTGCGGGCTCAAGCCCCAGTGATGGGCGTGCAGGAGGCAACCAATCGATGTTCTTTCTCATTGATGTTTCCCAATCTCTCTCTTTTTCCCTTTCTCTCTCAAAAATATCAATAAAAACATTAAGAAATAAAAATAAAGTGCCCAGCCAGCTTGGCTCAGTGGTTGAGCGTTGACCTATGAACCAGAAGGTCACTGGTTTGATTCCCGTTCAGGGCACATGCCCAATTGTGGGCTCAATCCTCAGTGTGGGGCGTGTAGGAGGCAGCCAATCAATGATTCTCTCTCATCATTGATGTTTCTATCTCTCTTTCCCTCTCCCTTCCTCTCTGAAATCAATAAAAATATAATTATAAAGAAACAAAGTGATCCTGTATACAAAATGCAACACACACACACACACACACACAGTAACTTTATATGAATTGAGAATGTCTAGCACAGAGGTTACAGACTGGCAGCTCAGAAGTTTTTGGTTTAGTCCTCTCAGAGTTTGAATTAATTGACAACTTTTAAATATCAAGCTATTGCATCAAAAAATCTGAATTTATGGCTTTTTTTTAAATCATAAAAGATAGCAAGCCCAAGCCCATATTCCCATGTGGTAACAGCCTCTAGCCCTGAGTAGAGGCTGCCTCTTCAGGGGATACAGACATCCCAGTCCACTGCAGTTCCACATGGCAGGCTCACTCCTAATTATCTGAATGTTTGATCCTTGATCCTACAGAGACATATACTGAGCTGTCAACAGAGGTAATTTCTGCACAGTGAGACTGAGAGGAAGACTTTCACTTTGAACATTGTATACTTTCTTATTTTTAAAAAATATATTTTATTGATTTTTTTACAGAGAGGAAGGGAGAGAGATAGAGAGTTAGAAACATCGATGAGAGAGAAACATCGATCAGCTGCCTCCTGCACACTCCCTACTGGAGATGTGCCCGCAACCAAGGTACACCGGAATCGAACCTGGGACCTTTCAGTCCCGCAGGCCAACGCTCTATCCACTGAGCCAAACCGGTTATGGCAGATACTTTCTTTTTTTAAAAATGTTTTATAGTAGGCACAAGTTTTTATAATAATAATTTTTAAACTACTATTTAAGTAATTGCTGCTTAGCAAAGATAAATACATCATGAAAGGACCAAGTAAAGTGCCAAGTGAAGTAAAGAACTGAAATAAAGATTTACCAGCTTAGTTAGCTAGTGAAGACATCCAAACTGAATAACTCAGTTCTCTCAACCCTCCTTCTTCAATAGTATATTTCAGACCCACAAAGAAAATTATGGTTAGAGCATAATCAATGACCAGAAAAATGATAAATTGTAATATGTTACCAAAATTTCAACAGGATCATCAAGTTTTCCCTTTGAAGGCCATGCCCATTCTCTCACAATGTATCCATTTTTGTTGATCACCAGGCCTCCATCCTCATTAAACATCATTGATATTATTTGGCTGCCAAAAAAAGAAAGAAACATGACTCATTTACAAGAAACCTTCATGTACTCATTGATTTGGCCAAGGTGGTGGAAGTCACCAGGTCACAGCCTTCAAGAGGATAGGACTTCCTCCTATCACATTCTTGGAGGATGGTCACCTTGCCTCTACCTGAATATCTCCCTTGAAGAGAACGTTGGTATATACCTCTCAGATGATCAAGATCTCCCTTCTCTGAGACACATCCCCTTCCATTTCAGGAATGGACCCTGCTATCCATGATTATATACCATGTGGCCCTGCTGCCTTACTGTTGCTATTGAATCAGAGATGGACATTTGTCCCAGAATTGTGTTCCAAATGAATGCAATCCTATCTAATAAAAGAGAAACATGGTAATTAACCGTAACTTCGATACCCTTCCCATTGGCTAATCAGGGCGATATGCAAATTAACTGCCAACCAAGATGGCGGCCGGTAGCCAGGCAGCTGAAGTGAACAGGAAGCTTGCTTGCTCCAGTGACGAAGGAAGCCAAGGTTCCCCGCCTACCGCCGCCGGCCTCTGAGCTGCTCTCTAAGAAACATTGTTGCAAATATAGAAGCTAAGCAATCCCCAGAAACCTGCTTTCAGCCGTCAGAGCTGGAGCAAGCAGGACCGAAACAATGTTGCAATTATAGAACCCAAACAAACCCTAGATTCCTGCTTTCAGCAGCCGAGGCCTCAAGCTGGAGCCGGCCTCAGAGCTAAAGCCGGCTCTCAACTCCAGTAACAGCCATAGAAGGTAAATAAATCCCAGAATAAAAAAAAAAAAGAAAAAAGGAGAGGTTGGGAGCTTCAATCGCCCACCAGCCTGAAAACGGCCCTCAGCCCCTCACCCAGACTGGCCAGGCACCCCAGTGGGGACCCCCACCCTGAAGGGAGTGTGACCAGCTGCAAACAGCCATCATCCCCTCATCCAGGCTGGCCAGGCACCCAAACGGGACCCCTATCCTGATCCGGGACACCCTTCAGGGCAAACCAGCCGGCCCCCACCCGTGCACCAGGCCTCTATCCTATATAGTAAAAGGGTAATATGCCTCCCGGCCCCGGGATCAGCGGAGCCGTGAGGCCTCCCGAACCCGGGATCAGCGGAGCTGCGAGGTTTCCTGGCCCCTGGAGCAGCATGACAGGGGGCAGCACCCAAACCCCCTGATTGCCCTGCGGCTCTGTGTGTGACAGGGGGCGGGGCCAGAACCTCCCTATCTGCCCTGCTCTGTTCCTGACAGGGGAAGGCACCCCAACCCCCTGATTGACCCTGCTCTGTGCCTGATAGGGGGGAGCTCCTCAAACCCCTGATTGGCCCTGCTCTGTGTGTGACAGGGTGCAGCGCCCCAACCCCCCCATGGGCCCTGCTCTGTGTGTGACGGGGTAGAGCCGCAACCTCCCCATCGGCCCTGCCCTGAGTGTGACAGCAGCGGCATCCCAACCCCCTGATGGGCCCTGCTCTGTGGGTGACAGGGGGCAGTGCCCCAACCCCCTGATGGGCCCTGCTCTGTGTGTGACAGGGGGCAGCGCCCCAACCCCCTGATCGGCCCTGCTCTGTGCATGACAGGGTACGGAGCCCCAACCCCCTAATGGGCCCTGCTCTGTGTGTGACAGGGGACAGCGCCCCAACCCCCTGATCGGCCCTGCTCTGTGCATGACAGGGAGTGGCGCCGCAACCTCTCCATCGACCTTGCCTTGAGTGTGACAGGGGGCGGTGCCCCAACCCCCCAATCGGCCCTACCCTAAGCGTGACTGGGGGTGGCATCGCAACCTCCCAATCCGCCCTGCTCTGTGCATGACAGGGGGCGGCGCCCCCACTCCCCAATTGGCCCTGCTCTGAGCCTGACCAGGGGCAGGCACCTAGGGATTGGGCCTGCCCTCTGCCACCTGGGAGTGGGCCTAAGCCAGCAGGTCGTTATCGAGGGGTCCCAGACTGTGAGAGGGCACAAGTGGGGCTGAGGGACACCCCCCCCACCAGTGCACAAATTTTTGTGCACCGGGCCTCTAGTAATATATATAAAAGCCCATGAGGAAGGCGATGGGCACAGTGTATTCAAAGGACTGAAAGAAAACCAATGTGGCTAGAGTCCAGAGTGGTGTAAATGACACTGGAGTGATTGGCTGGTAGGAGCCAGATGTGCATGGCTCCCTTCTCCATATCATGAATTTTGTGGTAAGAGCAAAAAATTATAGAAGGGTTTAATAACGAAGCAAAGAAGTGGCATGATCAAACAGATTGGTACATAATTAAAGTAAATGCCAGAGACTCGTTAAGAGCTCACAGAGGTGGTCCAGGATAAAGGACGACAGCTTGGACTAGGGCAGGAGTGAGAGAGATGGAGGCACATTCATGGATTCAAGAATCAACCAGACTGGATAGATGGGATTTGGGTGACGAAGAACAAGGATGTAGCAATTTTATCTTCCCCATACTTTAATACAGGTGTATTAATGCAGCCTAGCATTCCATTAGCTTTTCTGGATGAGTAATATCACATTATGTGTTTATGTCTAAATCATCTTTTTGTCTTCTCTCTTCTCAGCACAGAACCTGGCACAGGGAGGGGCTTAACAAAAGTCTGAATTGCACTGATAGAATGGATTCAATTAAACAAGTACATATCGGTATCTATTAGATGCAAGACTGTTCAGGCACTCTCAGGCATCTAGGGATGCCCAGAGCAAGGTGTTCTCTCTGCACTCACGACATTTTGAGTCCTGTGCTAATAATTATTTTGACAGATAACATTTATTGGGAGTCTACTATGTACCAAGTCTTAAATACATGTTTTAACAGGCCATTGTTGCTTAATGGTTACAAACCATTGTAGAGCCAGATAGTTAATGGTATTGAAACTGGCTCTTCCATTTTCGAATTGTATGAATGTGGACTATTTCTTACATTTTCTGTGGTTCGGTTTCTTTATCTTAAAAATGGCAAAAACGATAGCATCTACCGCACAGAGCTGTTCTGAGGACTAAATGAGCTAATACATATAACAGAGCCAGGCACCCTGTAAGTCCTTTAACAGTGTTGGCTTTTATTGACAATTCCATTTATAGGTATTACGAGCCCCACTTCCCAGCTGAGAAAATGGACGGAGGGAAGTTAGTAAATAGAGTACCTGCCACCTAATAGAAAGTTCAACAGAGGGGCTCACCATTTAATGGAACAATAACAGTTCACAGTATAAAAGGGGTGCTTTTGGCATAATTGAGGAGCCCATAGTTCAACAGATATGCTAAAGGAGTGAAGCAACCAAACAAAGAAATAAGAATAGTAGCCCTGAGCCTTGGACACCTAGAACGCATTCCTTTCTTGAAGAGTGCACCCTTTTACTCACCCTGGCCAGGCCAGCCTCCAGCTGTTCTCATTCCTGTGAGGCATCTCAGGGAAGACCTTAGCCATTCACCCCTACTCTGCAGCAAAAGTTCTAGCTGTAGCAACAGTCTACCTGCCTGTGTGGCCTTCCCTATACACTGAATCCTTGCAACAAGGGTCCCCGTCCACAGCTCCATTTCATTCATCTTCCTGAAGGTTCAAGTTGCTGAGCCTTCTTACCAAGACTCCCCTTTGGTGGGATGACAAATGCACAAGAGGAAGATCGGTTTAAAAGATCATTAACAGTGAAGTAATGAAATCCCTTTCAAGGCAGCTTTGTTATTGTTTTGTCCTCTCTCTTTCCGAGCTTTCAGTTATGCTGAAAGCAGACAGTATCCTCTGCCAAGGAATGGCCTGTGGTGCCCAGGATGAAATTACACAGGGCAAGACTTAGCTGTGAGGCTTAGCATTTTGGGCTTCTCTGAAGTTCCCAAAATATCATCAGCAGATGGTGCTGTATTCATCTGCTTAGTTACTATTATCAAAGAAGACAAAGAGAGAATGATGAAGGCAACCACAAGTGGGGGTGGGGGGAGTTTTGTCATCTCCTCTTTGTTTCATGGATATAATTCTCACCTTGGATATTTAATTTTATGCAACAAATAACCAAGGAAACCATTCCCCAGTATAAACTAGACTCATTGGCAATATTAAAGTTTGATCAGGGCACTAAACATTCTAGTTTCTACCCAGCATCCACTCTCTATCCCTTCCTTTCTTTCTAACAAATTCCTATTCATTAAGCTCTTCACCCCTCACTGAGTCCATCCCCATTTACAGGGGTAGATGTTGAGTAGTCTAAGATCAAAGGTGCATGGCATTCCCTTGGTTCAGGGGTGGGCCTGTGATTAAGTTGGCCTAAAGAAACTGAAAGATAGGACATATAGTTTATTTTTGAAAAACAGCCCCCCTTCCACCCCACCACTAGATATGAAAAAGAAGATGTAGTGAGTGTCTTTGGTTGCCATCACGGGAACATTTGAAGAATGAATGCTACGAATAGCTAAGGGGAGGGATTTAAAGAACCTGGGTCTTTGATGACATCATTGAGCCATAAATTATGCTACATCTAGAGTTCATCCTATCTCCAATTTTAAATGGGATTTTTCTGTTACTTGCTATAGCAAAGCATTCTAACTCTACTTTCAGCAAAAAAATATTCTAACTGCTGCAACCCCTTTGATTAAATATTTATGGCTGGCTCTCTTAAAATCCTGTCTGTCCAAGCCTCTCCATCTACCCATTTTCAATAGCCTGACACAAATATTCCTAAAAGCTCTTGATCACTCATTATTCAATTATTCAAGTATTTAATAAGCACTCACTCTATACTGGGCACGTTATTATGTTGGGGGTAGAGCAGTAAACAAGACAGATGTGGTCGCTCCTATAAAGGAGCTCACATTCTAGTTGCACAGACCCAGTAAAGGGAAATTTAATTTTGAATGAAGATTAGTACTGAGAATAAATAAATTAGAGTAATAAAAAGGAAAGGATGGGACTTAGACTGTTCTCACAGGGGCTACTTGCTTCTCCGGAGGACAGAACAAAGGCCTTCCTTCCTAACTGCAGGGTCTCCACATACCTCAGTGTCCACACTTTGCTGCTACTCTTTGCACCATTTCCGGTAGAATCTCCTTATCTTG